AGGGCCCCTTTGGCAGTAGGAAACACATAGACTATTATGGAGATTGATTTTGGAATTCAGATGCACTCTTATTGATTGTGCTTGGCTATACATGTGTTGTTGTTGTTGTTATGTGCATTTGAGTCGCTTGCGACTCACAGCGACCCTATGTACAACAGCCCTAAACACTGCTCTGTCCTATGCCAATCGTACTGTCTCCGATACACCCATCCCAATTACCCCAGTCACTGAATCAATCGACCTCATAGAGGGCCTTCCCCTCCTGTGCTGTCCCTCCATCCTACCAAGCATGATGTCCCTTTCCAAGGACCTGTCCCTCCTTACAACATGTCCAAAGCATATTAGCACTAGGAATATTATTAATCCTGCCTTCCTTCCCCCCCCCCCAAAAAACCCCCTCTTTTCCTTTTTAAGATGGTTCTTCCAAGATGGCATCTTCTCTGTGTATTTCGTCCTAGAACATCTGATTCATGGCTATGGTTTTAGATGTCCTTAAATCGCCAGCCCTCACCCCTCCCCTGAACCCCAGAGTCTTCAAAAATCTGGTATCTCAAAACATCCTTACAGAGTTCTCCTGAAATCAGTATCCAGGAGATACTTATTTCAAGCCAAAAACCTTGTAGGCATTCTGGATAATTTTCTCTTATTCTGGCTTTCAGGTATGCAAGGGCAGGGAGAGGGAGAAATGTGCAGTAATTAATAATAATAATAATAATAATAATAATAATAATAATAAATGTATGTACAAGTAAACGCTATTATCTTTGCCTCACAGCAGATTGCATGACTCCTAGCTGATGTCTCTGCTTTTAGTATCAACAACTATAGAGTATTGTGTATGTATTATACTCTATAGCTATATTGTACAGTATAAAATAGAACATTGTTGTTGTTGTGTACTGTTGAGTCGAAACCAAGCTGACCCTACAGCGGGTTTTCAGAGGCAGTTAATCGTACAGGAGGAGATTGCCCATCCTTTTCCCTCAAAGCAGCTGGTGGATTTGAACCACGTGCCTTTGGGATTGCAGTGTAGTTTCTTACCACTAGGCCATATAACCCAGCTATAAAGTATAACATACATTTTAAAACCCAGATATCATGTCTTTATGCTTAAAACCCTCTAAAGCCTTCCATTCCACTTAGAATAAAAAATTCAGACTCCTTGTCCTGGACCTTGAGGCCCTGAGTCTTCCCCTTTCTCTCTCATGTCTGCCTCAGCTCTTTATACTCTTCCTCTGCTGGTCCTGAGACCTTTGCACTTACATTTCCCTCTGCCTGGATAGTTTCCCCTGGTCTTCCCATTATGGTGCTGTGCTGTCATTCACGTGTATTGCCATCACTCCTTAGAGAGGCCTTCGTGCCCACCCCAGTCTCTGAGCCTCTGTGACAGAGACCTGAAAGTCTGTATTTTTAATCTCCCCAAATAATAAGAGCAGATCCAGGGTAAGATGTGGGGAGGCCTGGGGTCTAGACACCATGCCCTGGCCCTTCCCACAAGTGTCCCATTCCCCTTCTCCAGGAAGTTCAGCCCGGAGCAAGAAACGGGAAGCCCGCCTGGACAAGGTCCTTTCAGACATGAAGCGGCACAAGAAGCTTGAGGAGCAGATTCTTCGCACTGGCAGGGACCTCTTCAGCCTGGACTCGGAGGACCCCAGCCCCGCCAGCCCCCCACTCCGGTCCTCGGGGAGCAGTCTCTTCCCCCGGCAGCGGAAATACTGACGGCAGATGCTCCTGCCTCCAAGGGCACATTCTGCACCTCCTGGGACTTGAACTTTCCTCTCCCAGGGAACTTGGGCAGAGGAGAGAAATGCCAAGCTCTGCACACAGAACTGGGCAGGAAAGACAGACTATGTGTTTGTGTTTTCTATTGAACATCTCTTTGGCACTCTGGACTGAATAGCGCAAGCCTAAAATAAAAGATACAACATTTTCCTTATTAAGAAGAGAAGCTATAGTTTGAGCCTGAAGAGCTGACCACACTTGGGTTGGAGAGGCGAATTAAAGTTAAGATTGAGACAGATTGAGAAGTTAAACCAGATGGATCAGTTAAAACCTCAGCACTTACCCCATGTCAAACCCCGTGAGCCTTCCTGGTGCCACCCAGGGATACCATCAGGCTCTGAGGCAGCACTTTAAATGCCCGAGCAAATAGCCAGACAGGCAGTGACCCTATGACTGGTTGAAGGAGTTTCTTGATCTGATCCCACTGAGGGGCCACTCACCCTCACCTCTAGATGAGGTACCTCTAGATGAGGTACGTCTTACTGTCTCCTAGACCAGCAGGGGAGCGCTGCATCTTGAGGATCTAGGCCTGCCCTGTTTTCTAGGGCCACCCTTCTGCTGAAGCAGGTAAGATCTCACTGAAGCAGGGACTAAGATGGGGAGAACCTCTGCCGAGAGGCTGCTCTCGTGAGAGATGGTTCTCGATTTTGAAGTGAAGGTAGATCAGCCCAACACTCCTTAAGTCTTTGGCTTCAAGCTCCCACATGCAAAGTGAGCAGGGAGGCATGAGACCATCCAACTCCAACTAGGTTGATCTTTTTGCCTACCCTCTCCTCCTGAGGACTCGGGCTCTGACTTGTCCGCTTGAGCTCCTACAGTGTGACTCGTCCTCATCAAGACCCCTCATCTCTGCTGGAAGTTGAGATTCGGCACCCCATCAGGGCTGTGCCGGCCTCCTGGGCCTTAGCAGGTCCATTGTGAAATCATTAACAAGGAGATCTTAAAGAGGCTTTCCAGAGGGTTTGGGGAATAAGTGTTGGGCTGCTGAAGAAGTTGTGGCTGTTTGAATGCTGATTGTTCCTCAGGAGAAAGATGAGCTAGTCTGTGTCCATGGAGATTTGAAGGTTTGGAAGCCCTGTGAGCTAGTTCTCTGCCCAGAGTCACTGTGAATCAGAATGGAGTCTGGCAGTGAGTCAGCTTACTGCTTTTGGGTTGGAACCGACTCCTGGCTGACCCTGCAGCTGGTTTTTAGAGGCTGTAAATCACATCTTCCATGGACCTGAAGGTGGATTTGAACGAATAGAGAAATGCCACATTTAGATCAGCAGGGAAACTCCCTATAGTCTGTGCCACCAGAGGGAGCAGTGAGTAGGATTTGATACCCAAGGAAGACTTCTTCCCCTTGGGAAGGCAGGTATCTTTAAGAAAAACAGAAAAACCCAGCAGCCTACTGTGGTCGAGTTGGTTCCAAATCCATGCCAACTTTTCCAAGGATTTGCATCTCTATAGGAGAAGATGCCCCACCTTTTCACAAGGAGCAACTGGTGGATTTGAACTACCAACCTTTCAGTTAGCACAACATGTAGTGAGTGCATTATGTCCCCAGATTTTATTTAATTTTTTTTTTTTTACTTGATGGATATGAAAGTTGGGGTTTTTTTTTGGGGGGTTGGGGTTTTGTTTTTGTTTTTAAGGTTTTAATCAAAGTTTATACAGAACTTGGATTTCCACTCATTCATTGTTGCATGTTTTCCTCCCTGCCCCCCACCCCAGATCTTTCTCATTAGGCTTTCTGTTACACAAACACAGCAGGAGTCTCAAGATTGGACCCAGCAGCTATCACCTGAGTGAGAAGCACTTGAGTCGCTGATTGGGGCAGATGTCCTCTGTGTTGCTTGGCTCTGCCTGGGTGAACCCCCTGGTTATGGAGGAAAGGCTGGGGACGGAAGTGGCTCTCCTGGAAAACAATGGCTGTTTCCAGGTTAGCACACGGAGTGCCTGGCCTGTTTGGAGGAGGCAGCTACTCTGAGGTGGGGGACCCGAGATAATAGATCACTTTGTTGGGGGTGGCGGCTCCTGGGTGTGGTGGTTGGTAGGTTACAATCTTGGAATTCTGGTTTACTCTTTAAAACACGAGCCTGCCTGTCAGAACTGACTCCTCCAGCTGACCCTCCAGCAGGTTTTCAGGGGCTGGACATCGCATGGGAGGAGATTGTCCTTTCTTGGTGGAGCAGCAGGTGGATTCAAACCACCTGCTTTTTGCTTGAGAAGGCAGTTCCCTACCACTTGACCACGACTCCGCCTGTTATTTGGGGATATCTACCAAAAATGCAGGCAAGGATGGCCAAGCTTCGTCTCTCATACTTTGGACATAATACTGGGAGAGGCTCTTTCTTCTTGGAAAATGGGTATCATAATTAGAAGGGTGGAGGGTCAATGAAAGAGAGGAAGACAGACCCTCAACAAGATGGGTTGACACAGTGACTGCAGCAGTGGGCTCAAGTGTGTCAGAGATGGTGAGAGTGGCACAGGGTAGGACAGAATTCAGATCTGTTGTTCGCTGGTTGGTGGGAGTCATACCTGACTTGAGAGTAACTAACAATGAACAAAAGTACAAGCTTTGGAGTTCAGTGGGCCTGGGACAAGCCCTGGGAATCCTCATGAACAGGGTTAACCCAGCTGAGTCCTGTGCTGGGTAGATATGAAAATGCTGATCTGAGTTTCGGAAACCTGGTTCCTGGTGCATCTCTAGGCCTGCAGTGGTCCGACTTCAGTGACTGGCACTAGTTGGCATCTGGGAGGTGGGGGACCTAGGCTCCGAAGCCACCTGCCACCACTACTCCACCTACCATGAGGCCTGGCCGAGCTACTTCTCTGTTATAGACTGAACTGTGTGTGCCGAAAACGTGTGGAAATCCTCACGTCTGTGCCTGTGGTTATGATCCCATTTGGGACTGGATTGTTTTCTTAAGCTAACGAGACAGGGTTCGTCTAGATCCCTGTTTTGAGTGCATCTTTTTTGAGTTCAGAGAAGCCCATGAAAGCAGCAGAGATGAGAGAGAGATGCAGGAAATAGAGCTGCAAAGGAGCAGACGCTCCCAGAGCCCACAGAGAAGGCCTTCCCACGGAGCTGGCACTCTGAGTTCGAACTTCTGGCCTCCGAAACTGCGAAAATGTATTTCTGTTGGTGGAAGCCACCCACCCAAGGTATTTCCGTGACAGCACCACGAGGTAGCAAAGACACCCACACAGCGGTCCAGTTGGGCTGGAGTGTGAACCAGATTTTCTTAGGCAGAAATGTTCCTAAGACTTGGCTGCTAAAAGCATGCGGCAGCTTCTGCAGCATTTCCACCAAAGCATCGTCCTCCAAAGCAGATGCTATGGTTCCCCTAAACTCAGAGGCCACCTGCTGAAAAGAGCTCTTCTGTGGGTCCTGAGTCACGTGATTCAGTCTTTAACCAAAGACAGCTTGACTTAAAACTAAGGGAAGGAAAATGCTGGCAAGACAAGAGTCCCTGTTTAATTGGAACTCCAGGACAGTGGAGTTAATGCTCCAGTTTGGTAAACCTGACATCACAGTGGCAGGCAGGTGGTGAGGTTGGGTCTCCAGCCTCACCTGGAAACATCGTGCCTGCCTGGACCAAGAGCTCGGGGTGGGGACCAGGGCCTTGTGTTGGCAAAAGGGCTCCTTGGCCCAGAGGCACACCAGCACCTGGGATGGGGGAGAAGCTGGAGGAGAAATTCCCTGTGCATCATGGGAGCTCATCCTTATAGGCCCCCCACTGCTCTGGAGCCTCTATTCTGAACCAAGGGTACCCTCTGCTCTCTAATCCCCTCAAGCCCAGGAAGCACTAGTTCATATTCCCATTTCATAGTTGAGGAGAGGAAGGCTCAAGGCTAGTAGGTGGCTTGAGAGCAGCCCCAGGGCAGAGACAGCCTGCCAGATCCACATTGCCCCCACTGGGTCTGTGGGGGAGTGTCCAAACATAACACTTGGGCCCCACCTCGGTCGCATTAGAACTCCCAGGCAAGGTCTCTGGGGGCCTCTGACGGTCAGCCAGGGTGGATAGTAGCTACATTAGGACGGAGCATCTGGTTAAAATGCTGACTGATTCTGAAACGGGCTAAGCATTTTCAAGAGTCTTTCTAATGGGTGTCCAGGTGATGTTGATGTGGCTCACTGCAAACCCGAGTGATTAGCCGATTTAAGCTTGGGTGCTTTCGGCTTCAAATTTACCTTATTTACCAGTTGTAACTGACCCTGAAAAATTTCTCTGTAGTGACTTGGGATCCATTCATTTATTCAATCCTCCTTTATTGTGTAGCACAGATGTACTTTCTAAGAGGTGGTTGGTGCAGAGGGTCAGCCTCTGCCTCGTTTCTTGCATCACACCCCTCCATCCTTCCCGTCTTTGTGTGTAACGGAGACAGGATGGGTCCCTGCATAACTTGGGGTGAGAGCTGGCAGTGGTTAGCACTGAGAGAGTCCAGTTCTTTCAGGAGCCACAAGAGAGGAAAGAAAGGTGATTGGGCAGAGCAGGGGGGAGCACCTAGAAGTAAGGTCTTAGCAGCAGAGACTGAGGGAGCAGGTGGACAGGCAGGTGAGTAGAATTGGGGAGCTGAGGCCAAACCCAAGGACTGGGAAAGACCTTGCAAATGTTATGTTAGCATTGCATTTTATAATATTTTAAACACTCTCATTGTCTTTTGAAGGCACAGATATTTTTGGACTAAAATGATCTAACAGTACACAGTGTCATCTGGTAGACCACAGGCGTCTCAATCTGAGACTTGTCAGGAACAGGCTGGCTGAGTCAAATGGGTTGCCCTCATTCCCTGAGTGCCCCCAGTGGGCTCACCTCTATGGACAGAAGGGGTGGCAGGGGTAGGAAGGTGAAACTTGTGCTGGGAGAAGTTGGCAGGTGGTCTAGGAGGAAGTCACTGCCTCCTCAGCTTGGTAGGTCAGGTGGGTGGTGAGGGAGGAAGCCAGGGGTCCA